CGGCCATCCCCAGCTTGTGCTGGAGACGGCTCCGTCGCTCTGCAGGGCTGGCAGAGATAACCGGGCCCCGGGAGCATCTTCCCTGCCAGCTGCTCTCCCGTTTCCTTCCCCATGGAGTAGCCTCTGCCTTGGGCTGCTCGCTGAAGGGTGCCCAGGTGCAGAGGAAACATCTTCCTCCGACCATTCGTTTATTTTTCTCCCTAAAAACATCCTGGTCTCTGTAGCCGGCACAGGTCATCTACTGGAGAGGGCTGCCTAGATGCTAGGGCTAACAAGAAAAGATTGTAGCAATCTACACTAAAAAGGGGAATGCTGAGTCTTACCAAAACAGAGAATTAACAGTTCAGCTTGTTTCCAGGGAGCTTATCTATATTTAACAGTGAAGGGGGTTCTTGTGCGTGCATATGGGTAGCTCACTGGTGACTGGTTCAGATACGGGCTCTGTGTTGGTAGCCAAAAAAGAGAGATGCTCGGAAAAGAGTTAGCATGCGTGGACTATGCGTATTTTGTAGATGCTCTTAAAGTTGAAAATGTTTATCAGCACTGAAGTGGTCAAGCCACGAAGCAAACTCGGGAACGTGCAGCTTCCACAATTAACACCTGAGCACGATGGCAACTCGCATTGGGCTGTGGCTGCCTGGATGTGGGGCTGCCTTTAAAGCAGGGTTTCCATAAGTGAGAGCTCTGGGAACCGTGGGTCTCTGGCTAACTTGAAGGCTGTGAAATCAAGCTCGTGAAGAGCCTCTTCCATGGGCTCACTGTGCTGAAAGCTTCAGCGATCGCAAGGCTCAGCAGGTCTTGCCAAGACGCTGCATTAGAGGGCAGCACGAAACCGCTTTGTGCTGCTTGCCTCCATTTGTATTTTCATCACCAACCGCTGCCTTGTCTCCCTCCTTCTCCTCCAGTTACCACTGTCTCCCTGGTTGAGAGCAGCCGGATAGCCACAGGTGCCGTGCTCCTCCTGGTCAGCCGAGCCGTCTTCATCCTCATCAGCATTTATTATTATTACCAAGTTGGACGCCGTCCCAAGAAAGTCTAATTCCTGGGCTTTTTGTCATGGGAAGGGTGGTGGTGGGTGGGGGGGTTGTGTCGGTAATTTTGCATTATAACTTTTTTTTTTTTTTGGTTAGTCCCTTTTTGTTCTAAAGTGGTTTCCTTCTTTTCCACTTACCGGCATGAGTCAGTGTGTGAGCCGGTGCTGGTA